CGCATGAACATGAATACACAAAAGGTGATTATTTAAATGTGAGACGAATTTCACATGTAAATAGTGACAATGACAAGAGCCACTAGATAACAAGGTCACAAAGTCTACTACAAAAAGATACATACAGAAGTGGAATGCAACGAATTCATACACAAATATAAATATTTCAGGATGATGTAAACAATCGTATCTTCTGTAAGTGGGTTGGCATAAAATCACGTACCATGTAAATGTTCTTTTTTTTATAGATTAAGAGTGTTCATCATCGACGTAGTATACACATTCTTGCGCATACAAAAAGGGCATAATGTACAATTGTTAAATTACAATGTATAATACAGAATTCACATAATAAATTGCTCTATTTTACATATCTATCTAAAAATCGTACTTTTTTTTAACAAAAAATTTATATTCATTATCCATACGAGATAACATACAAATTTAATAAGAAGAAACTGATATTCTTCTAAATTAGGAAAAAATGAACAAAGCTAGCAAAATAAGGTGTAATACAGAAAAGAGAGTGGCAGATCATAGCTACAATGTATGTACAAATTATTTACATAAATTTTGAAACCTATACAATACAATGGCGGAATTCAGTGAAATGTTATATTTACGAAGTTATTCATGCGGTACTACTAAAGCAGGATTAATACACAGTAATCACTGAAGTCTTGCGTAAACAAGTTCTACTAACTAGTTACTCGTCATTTACTCTTACAATTTGTCAATTCTTGCATACTACCTATTATTCTTTACTGTTCTCCATTATTCTTTCCCGGGCTTTTGAGAAAAGACTTTGCTGTATTGCGAAGAATGCTGAAGGCAGTTAGCAAGGTGTGTGGTGAATCTTTCGAGGTTATAACTAATATGGTTGTGGATAGACATTTAAAATCATGCAAACTCCTGGCAGGTGTCATTTTATCAGATACTAGCCATCCCCTTCACTCTTATCTTTCTCCTTGTATATCTTCTGGTAGAACGAGACGTAATTACATTAAAATCCATGCACGCAAGGAAAAGTACAAATGTTCTATAATACCTTATCTAGCAAATATACTCTGTGACGAACAGGTTGTTAGAGTTAATCTAGCCAATAACCTGCATTCTTAACATGACTTTAATTTTAAATGTTGTACTGTTTCTCAGATATTTTTTTTAAAACTTTTTTTTTGTCTTTGTTACTATTTTTGTTTGCATAAGTAACTTGTTGAAATACCCTGTGCTGAGAATTCTATATTGTACCAAAACTATAATATTGAATAAAGCCATTAATAATAATAATAATAATAATAATAATAATAATAATAATAATAATAATAATAATAATAATAATAATAATAATAATAATAATAATAGTTAAACTAATTAAACATTAAAAGGATAATCTACCAGTAATTTTCATCGAAGACAACATAAGAAATATCAAAGATTGATGTAAGTGTTTGAAAATGGTGAAATATACCATACTGTTTGCAATACGTTTGACAGAAATGAACATACGAAACACTGAGTTACGATCACCCTGAAAAATTTTAATCTAATTCTGTTGAACTATACGCAGAATTGAATTCAATAACTTGATCAAAAGCCTGCCAATTAATAAAAATATTGTATGAAAACTGGTGACTACAATTTGAAGGGAAACTATAACAGGATCTCGATTGGTTTCTGTTTTAATTCACGTCCGACAACGTCTCAAACTTACGATCCGCATTAGATTTACAACCCCAACCAAGGGGTCTCAATGGACTGAAATGCCAGTTCTGTAGCAGCTTCGTTTCACATCACGGTGCTATTTTAAAAACTGACCACCTTTCCACTCTTCCCACCCAGTCCCAGAGTCAGTAAATAATTGACGATTGGAAAGCCGCTAGGATCACATTCGTAAAATAGTGACAGTAATTGAATTATTGTAAATGAACTCCTCGATATTGCAAACATGATGTTGTTACTGAACGTCAGAGTCATCTAACATCCTGAACTCGAAAAATTAAGGTTTAGCAAACAGAAAGGAAAACTGCCCCTTCATAGATGCGTTGTAAACCCGACATTTTACGACCAGAATAACATCACGATGATACCAAAGATAGGATAGGAGAACAATGTACGAACGATCAGTTGTATAGATTGAATTTTAAAATCATCAATATTATTTTCTCATAGCTAACGTAAATAATACATGAAATTTGGTCAAATAGTATCGTTCTATTTTCGATATTCACTCGGTTTAGAGTTTAGTATTGTTCGAGTGGATTGGGTCTAAGAATATCATAATAATTATTATCTGTAGAAACCATTTTAGTCTAGTACTAATTAATGAAGTTGTTCTTCTAGATGATATCGTAACAGTTTTCGATATACATCGATCCTTCTTGAAAAAGGTTTTGTGAAAATCGGCAATTTACAAATGATAGAAGGGTTTATTTTCTTCGCACTATAGACTCATCCTTTGAAATTATAAAGCGAGAAACTAGACAACAAAAATAACATCTGTTTAGATATTATTAGGCAAGAAATCCTCTATTTTCGAGTAAATTCATTGGTTTAATAAGAAAACTGTAGACTAATAATTAAAATGTCCATTGCTTGGTATTAAGAATAATATTTTGCTAAAACAAATGAGTGATTATGAACTCAACAGTTTTAACAGATGACTAAATAAATAATGAGAACAATTAAGAATTCAAATTACTCAAACTTATTACATGAGAATGAGAGACATTATCTTTCTAAACAGTAGGTCAGTCAGTCAGTAACAACATAGAACTTCGTACGTACGTACATCAGTTCGAGTTGCCACACCACATTAGCATAGAGATGCAGTGGTCGATTCAAATCCCGTAGTAGTAGAGGTAATAAGAGTATAAGCAGTAATCGGGAAGATTAGTGTTTGGAGATGTTACTTAAAGAGTATAATACAGTGAAATAAATTTGAGAGGAGAAAAAAGAGACAAGGAGGAATAAGGAGATCAAAATTTGGGAGAACAGTAGGTAGGTATACAGGAATTTTGGATTTACAAGTTAATTATCGAGTTCATGTTTAGTCCCAGAAAGGTAATTACTAAAACATTATAAAGCGAAGCATAAATAATAATACGCAAAGATATTCTTATCTGCAGATTCAAAAAAGGAATAAACAAGGTATTATTCTTAAACATTATTGAACAAGTATCTGATGATATTGTTAGAATAAACAAATAAGCAGTCCATTATAATACATACATCTGAAATTTTATTAATGTTCAGAGTAAATGAAATGATAAAAAAAGATGCGAATAGCACCAATTATGTGTGCTTTAGTTAAACAATTAAGAAACTTGTTACATGAAATGTTTCCATAGGTTAGCTTAAACATTTCACATGATATGTTGTGACTGCAGTCGTAAGACAATCAATGCGACAGAACTTCCGACTGTCAAAGATACATGTTTATTGTTCATTTAATTTTTAATGGTTTGCATTCGTCAGCTGGAAGTAATGTTCTTCAATTATTTGTAGTGAAAACATGATCCTTCGGTCCAATGTTAATATTAATAATTTAATCTTACCATATTCTCACACTAAAAACTAAATATTGCTAGGAAACAATAAATTAGAACGATACTGTAGTACTCATACCTGATGATGTAAATTCAAAGGAAATCAAGTTTTCATGAAGCAATACAAGCGTATAGGTTCTTACACAAAAGCCGCTTAATATTTCTTCAAAATTATGATACTTATCATAAAAATCCCCAAAAAAAGCGAAAAATTTAATATAAAACTTATGAAATAGTATGATTTCGGTGCACCAAAAACTAATTAAATATGAACATGCAAAATATACACATGTTGGACTGAGTATCTTTAGATTAAGCATTCAACCGACGTAATAACGCTTTGACGGTAAACTGAGTGCCCAACAAACAATATAATATTGTGAAACAGGCATACTACTACAAATGTTTTCAGCAAAGTAGGTTTTCGTATCCGCACAAAAACAGACAAACAGACAAATTTGACATTTAAACAAAATCATCCCATTCAAAAAAGCGAGAAAAATGGAAATTCAAAATAAAAATGAAATTATCATTTATGTCGTGTAAATGATTGAATTATTTGAAGATACTTTATATTAAACAGATTGAAACCAACTAGAAAAATGACGAATATAGAAGGTATTTATACCATATCCTTCAAATTAGATATTCGATCTTTACCAGTAATACCTTATGGACATACGGTTTACATCAAGTTAAATTACCAATATCAGCCAACTAAACAAATATCAGATGGTGAATTTGAAATGTCTCAACTATAATCTACCTGAAATCAATACCCTATGCTTTTAAACCAATAATCACGATGTGCTAAGAAGATAGTCTTAAGACAAATACTTTAGGCTTTTTCGATTTTCAGCAAACTTCGACCACTTAAAATATTTTTTGATTCCGGGATTTTTCTTAATAAAAGTCAGCATCAAAAAAACATACATTAATTACCGTAGTTGAATAATCCGATGACAATTATAGGTGTTTATCACAAACAACGTACATATTATAGTGTTAATAACACGTCAAACAAACACTGATTCTGCCTTGGATTTATCACCCGGACTCACTTATTTTTTCTACGTACAGACAACTACTGGCATACGAACAGCAAAAGATGACTAGCTAATGAGTCACTTAAGGTCACTTGATGAACTCTCTCCCTTACAAATAATTATACAAAGATAAGATTGGCTTAGTTTTATGACCTTGAATGTAAAAAAACACCAGTAAACAACAAAGGTAGTCAAGACGAAACAATAAATGTTAAAGCAGTTCAAAATCTCAGTAAACACTATGAAACCAAATGTCTTAATACTAAAAACAATAGAGTTAAGATAATAGCAATTATACAATATTAACAGAAAGGGGTTTTTGTGGATATTATAGTAATTCAGTAGTCGAGTTCATGAGTCAATTATACGACAAACAATTTATGATAGAGAAATGATTCAAACTTACGACTAAGCATATAAGAATTGGTTAGATTATTCTGATTGACACCTGATAAGACTTGTGGAAATCCACCGGCTGCTGCAACAGCTGCTGCTAAAGCCTGTTGTTGTTGTTGTTGTGAATTATGCAGCTGTAATGCGAATGGATTTAGTAAACCAGTAACTGCATTTGGTCCAATAGATTCTAATTCAGATATCAACGAACCAGAGAGTGGTGTAGCAGGAGGAGGCTCTGATGGTGGGGGTGGAATAATACCAGCACGAATAGAGTGAGCAAGCCTACATGCTGATCTTAAAGTACCATGTGGATCAACACCACTGATTGTGGTAGCCCGAGTTAGACTCCCTGTCATACGCTGCCGACGAGGCAATGTGCCTCCTGAAGAACCATACGCTGTCGATCGTGTATACCGACCTAGAGATGAGTCTCTCTGACGGCTGTTTAGTTGATACGTTTGACGGTGGTGTCTACCACGAATGCCTACGTCGAAATCATTTCCAGTATGAAATCCATCTTCTTCAATATCTGAGCGTGAATTACCTTTATTCAAAGCAACTCGCTCGCCGTCTTCACTGTCTTCTTGGTCATCATTAACCGATCTGAGTAAAGGATTCGATGATAAATTATTTGAACCAGTAGATCCCATCCTAGGGACTTCACTTCTTGCACGTTTCCTTGACCTTGATAAGGCAGATTGATCATTACAATTTTCATTTGGAACATGAGTTTCGGAGTTGGTATCTGTACTAACTGTAGGACTGCTAGAACGTGCATTTCCGTATGTTTTACGTCTCATTAATTGTGAATCGGTTAGTTGAGTACGGTATAATTCTCTAGATTTATTCTGACTATCATTTGAATGATCTAAAATTAGGAAAGAGGGATGGATATAAGTTCATTACAAATAATACAGAATAATAAAGCTTTACAATAGAAATTGTTTTATGCCCATTAAAACCACATTTAATAAGGAATTTATGTACGATATAAATTTAATTCAATACAACAGGTAGCTTGGTCATGAAATGGACAATCAAACGCTTTGATTGTTGTTGGAAAACTTTCTCACTAAAATGCGCTGATGGTTTTCATTAAAAGGTTGAAATACATCAAAAGTATTTTTATTTTAAAGATTCTTTTTCTATATAGCTGCAGATAAAATTTATTGCACTATAAATATATATATCAAGATAATCTTATTTACTATATTCGTGACCGATAAATTAATATGAATTAAATGTTGTCGATCCTTTAGAAATATCATCCAACTTCGAACCAATATAACTGAAAGTAGTATCCATAAGTATATCGTTAAGTATTTGTTCAAACAGGTATGTAGTTAAAAGTGGTTTTAGTTAAGGATTGATGTCAGCTGAAGAATAATTGAAAACCAAGGAAGGCTAAACAGCGATTCTGCCCTTATTGCGGCTTCCTTGACGGTGAACACTCATGAACACACTGAGAGCCGAGGCCAAGAACTGAGGTTATCACTGAAACCACAATATTGTTATTTACTTCCATCAAAATTAAAACTGGTCAAACGAATGTCAATATTACTTAGCAATAATTTTGAAATAGAAGACCATAACACAACTTTTGTGAACAACATGACCGATATAAAAAAGCAGACAGACTAAAGAGAACATTTAATATTAATTAGCTCATTCTTCATGAACAAGATATACTCATATATACATTTTGAAGTAATGCAAATAATTAATGACAGGTAACGGAGTTCTTTAATGAGTAGTTACGGCAAAAGAAAAATCTTCTTGACACAATAAAATCTATGGAAGTTTAGTCTCATGAATTTTAGCTTCAGATGACAAATTCGGTCCTTTATAACATGCACTATTCATTCGCTCAAGGCTAGACGTTTAATTATCAACCATTGGCCCATGGATTCATCATCAACACATTCAATTTAGGTAGAAAAGTTAATCCTAAAATAAAACGGGGATTCTAAAGATTAGTTCGAAAACGAGAATGTGATTGACAGATGACATTACTTGTTACTACTTAATATTCTTCATCTGCTGAACAACAATAAAGAAAATCTTTTTCTAGTCAGTGTGACAATACTTTCAGAGCTATGTGTAGAACTAAAAGGTTACAGCACACGAAAAAAGGACTTGCCCAAAAAAAGAGTATGTAAGAAAAAAGCAGAATTAATATATGATCAATGGTAAGAATAAAATAATATACATTTCATAAACTCCGTCTGTAACTTTTCTCGAGTAACTGCCGGTCCCAAGCCCGGGTAGAAAGAAGGGTCGGCAACTTCACTCCGTAGAAAAAATCTTGCAAAAAAAAAACGCCAACCAGATTAAAGTGCTGATGGGAGACCTAGGCTTCTTCACGAGGGGTAACAGGCGTAAGCAACATTTTATAAGTGTGATTGTTTGATACAGTAATAAAGACTTTTATCAACGGCCTAAATACAAAACCAATCACAAAGTTAAAGTGAAAGATACCCCATTTGCTTCACTATTATGAATGGTTCAATGATATATATATATACCCCTAAAATTGACAATTTAATAAAACCAGTAACTTTTCCAGTGATTTCTGAGTTGCATTACTATACTATATGAGTGGTCATTTCTGACTTTAGGAGTACACGAATCATTAACGGATATGTGAAGATGAACAAGTTCGCAAGTACAAATCAGAGATTAGCGTTAACAGCAAAAAGAGTATACCTACAGCTTCTTTATAGTCGCCTTTAGTCATCCAAAACGGGATTTATGCATAACATATGCTTCTATAGCTCACTTGGTTTCAGTATTTTCTATTTCGGACAGAACCTAAATTCACTATTTATAGAAAGCATTTCTAAAATCAAATAGCAAAATACTAATGTATAACAAGTAAAAAAAATATAAAAGGGAATAACTATTCAGTGAATCTTCTATGAATATGTCTATTTGTTTTATACCCAAAAACATCTTGTGTACACATTAATATGCGCATGTTTTTAAATAAGTAATCAGAAAATGTAAAAGCAGGTGTTAACAATGTGCATGAATCATGGTTATATGAGTGTATCGTGTAGTGAACTGAAGTTAAGATTTATAAAACTAATTGGGGAGGGATAATGAAGTTTACTTTTTAAGTGTAAATTATGATTGTATGTGTGTAACAGAATAGTTTAAATATGACGCAGCATAAACATGCGCACCTGATTTACGCAATAATAAGTAAATGGTAAAATATTGAAACGTAACTCTTGTACGAATACGAGATATAAAAATTCATGAAAATGAACGTCTAGATAAGTAGAACCAAAGCTTCTTCAAAACAAACACCATACAGAAGAGTTTGTTTAATGTTGAACTAACGTCACAGAAAATCTCAAAATTAGTCAAAATAGAAGGAAAAAAACTAACAGGAAAGAGGCATACGTAGAATAGTGAAGAAAGGTAATGTATGAATATAAACGTACTACTGGGACTAACTTTGAAATGTTCTATGTAAGACATTTGGATGCTGATTTGTAACCGTTAACTAAGTCAGAAGACTAGGAACTCTAGGTTAAAGATTGACATAATTCATTCGTTAAATTCCTAGAAAACTAATAATGCTTCAAAGATACCTGAGATAAAATGTCTGGAATATAACACTAGCAGCTTTTATAGTCAACTAGAGAGTTATACTCAATGTAGAACGATAAAATAATGATTACTAGAATAAAATGAAAATTTATTAAAAGATTTATAAACTTAGGACCTGAGGGAATACAGTAAGTGAATACACCTATGCCACTGGGTACAATTTTGAACAATGTCACCGAAAGCCTTAAACCGTTGGTAACGCTAATCACCAGGACCCTAAACAAGTGCCTTGTACTTACCTACATAGTTCAGTCCCATAGTTAGTGACTTCATGTACTGAGGCCATATCACAGATTTGCTGCCATTAGTTTTCTTCCAACCTCCCCCTACATCAGCCGTCATCACGCGTCTAGATAATCAGTCTTTATGCTGATGTATAAATGTTCTAATCATCTTAGTCGATAAATATTCGCTGCCTCATGAACATATTTTTCATCTTTACTTAAGACCCTGCGCTAACTTCAGAATTGTTAACTTGATTGTTCCAAAATACACGAGGAATGTTTTGAAAGGATATATAATGGATTAATAGTAACGATTGTCCTCAATCTTTAGAAGACGCATAAAACAGAACGTGGTGAACTGTTGAGTAGTATACTTGTCACTTATTTGACATCTTACCTACGTTACAAGTTACAAAAGTCCATAAAATTGCTTTTACAAGTCAAGCATTTGCAATGAAGTAAGATATGATGAGTTGTTGTACAGTATACTCACCCTTTAGGTAACAAGGAGACATCTCACCAATGTCACAGATAAAGGAAGCTAAGAATTTTAATGCGTAACAATATACGAACACAATCTGAGATAAAATAGAGGCTTAATGTAATATTGAACTCACTTGGTGTTGTTTTACTTGTACCTTCCTGTTGTCATTTAGGGATGCAACTGATCAGTCTCTTGTTGGCATATGCACATCCTGCGCAAACTGCTTCGATAGAGCTCTACGTCACAAGATTTTTAAGCGAAGATGGATAGTGGCTAGCAGTGGAATCCAGGACGTGGGTTTCGTTCTATTTGGGATTCCACTGCTAGCCACTATCCATCTTCGCTTAAAAATCTTGTGACGTAGAGCTCTATCGAGGCAATCTGCGCAGGATGTGCATATGCCCACAAGAGACTGGTCAATTGCATTCCTAAATAACAACAAGAAGTTATAAGTAAACCAATACCAAGTAAATTTAAACGTCACCCCATTGCACAAGCAGGTGACTATCAGGACTCAGTAGGTAAGTGGATAATGCGATGGCGTTTGAAGCGATCAATGCCGGGTTTGAGTCCCGAAGTGAACATCAACCCTGGAATGCAGGTAAATCCAGCTGACGAGTCCCATATTTGCGTATTACCGATTTGAAAAAAATAGCCGGCATACAACGGGTTTGACAGTTTCTTTACATTGCTTCATAATTCTTAATTTAGTGTTTATTTAATATCAGTCTACACCAAGCAAAAACAAATCGTAACGACGATACAAACTCTCTTATACGTAGCGATATCACTGTTGCAAATGTAACAGAGATAAACTAGGAAGCTTATTTCAGACATCCTCGGTATGAAAAATTACAACAAGATTATCACCGAATTCATAGAAGTAGTTACTTCAATGGTAGTAATATACAAAAGAAAGATTGTGTATAAGAGTATTATACACAGAGAAAGAATTACTTCGTAGAAAGAAAGTTAAAAAATAATTTTAATTTCATGGTTTAAGGGAAGACAGAGAGTGTATACACCGACGCCATTGTGGTCGAATCTGACCCATGTCACTAAGAGTCTCCAACCATTGGTTACGATAGTCGCGCGGACCCCAACCAAGTAGTCTGCTTCTAGCAACACGACTCAGACCAGAAGTTAGTGACTTTACGGACTGACGCCACATTTTGGTTTGGTCGTCTCTAACTTCCTTCCAACCGTCTCCAAAAATAGTCAGCATTGCGCGTCATGGTAATCAGTGTTCAAATATACGTAACACATGGTCTGGCCATCTCAGCCGATGGAGATTCTGTTATGTCCCGATAAGCATAATGAATGGTAACATTTGGTATCCATTTATGGATCAATACTAAACGTATATTTTTTATCGTATAATTGTTAAATAACTAAACTATGCATATTCATATTCTTCTTATCATAAGCTTCATTTTGATTTATGAACTATTATTATACGTTTTACCATTCTTGAATTATGCCCTGTCTATTAATCACTACCTCCCTCATTCACAGCCACATCTGGCTAATTCTTGTACAAATGTTGTTTCATATTTTATTGGTACGTTGTGGTCTGTTTGATTGGTATATAAACTCAGTATGTTTGGAATAAAATGATTCATATTACAGAGGCTGAGACTGGTGTTCTGGATTTAACTGGCTGGGCTAGACAGGAAGCAGGACCAATAAACACTCTAGACTGCTCGTACGGGTTTACGCGTCATTGGTCCGATCGATAAGTCATTGCTCTCTAATTGGCGGTATCGTTACGTTATTCAATAACAAGGCTCACTCGGCCACAAGTTATAACAGATTCACAACCTCACCAAGTGATTTACCATCATTTACTACTACCCATTATCTGACCTCACTATTACTTACCTGATGATTCCAGCAGATGCGGGCAATATTTCTAAGAGATCTATGATAGACGTATATCTCACCTTCACCATAGGTGACGTGATTTGGCAAAAGCCAAACGAGCTTTTCGAATCCGTGCAGAGATTTCGTCAGACACCAACCCATCAGGGCTGATAGGACTTCCAAGATAAGTGAAGTTGTCGACGCGTTAGACTACTTCATTCCCTATCCTTATATTTGTGATCATACACTTACAGCTTACTAGTTGCCTAAAAACAACTGAAGAATGTTTCAAAGAATGACAGAGTGGACTTTTTATAAAACTAGATTTATATGTATCCGGTGAATTTCTTATCGTAATGAAACTCAGACGACTGTAAGGCAGCTATAATCACTTGGAAGAAACTTTTTATTTGTAGAAAAAGGATCCTGAAAATTCAAACTAATTCCACTTCGAATTATGCTTTAAGTTAATATTTCAACTTTTTTGTATTCCGATCAACGGAATTTGACTATGTAACCAGGTTGGGGCATTTAGCAAAGCAACACTGCACGTATCACTGTTACCAAGTTTTCGAGAATGCTAGAGAAGTAATCCTTACTGACACGTGGAATAAGAACACTCCTAGACTAAAGTTGTCGTGAAATAGTAAAAATCATCTTTTTCACAGGCAACACGATTTACATGAGAAATACGTCAATCTATAGGGTATAGTAACTATAAGTATATACGGATAAAGTTAAGCACTCTGTAAGCAAAACTTCATACATATTATTGAGATTAATGGTGGGACTTGGGAAAACATCAAAAAACCTTATGCCCTTACAGAAAATTATAGACGGTTAATGTCTGTCACTTACCGACATACTACAACTGCTTAGTGGGATACACCCAAACGAATATCGGATTATTTAAACAAAAACAAGATCACTTGAAAAGGTGAGAAAATTGTCCACAGAATCTGTTCACCTCACCGAGTATACAAAAACCTTGTCTCGATGTAGTAAATAATTAAGGGCTTTTACCTATTTTTATTTTAGGGGGCTGGTAAACACTCATTTAAAAACGTGAATTCCTTACGGCTGAAAATTCGATAACATAACAGATCACAGTTTGATTAAAAAATAAAACGATTAGAAAGAGGATCGATTACGACCGACTCGGTGATTGACATGCGAAGATGTATATTATTAATTTTCCGTAAGCCACTTAAAGCTTTACAGAGCGCTGGCAACTGTCATCAAAAGATCCATTCAGATTTTTCAATAATTTCCACACAATCATTAAATTTTCGAATTAAAACGGTTAACTTCATCTAACTACTCAATATTTTTTTATGCTTTTAATAAACAGTCTCTTTAGGTGTCTGATGAACTTTATTTCAAACATTACTGAATTTCTTGAACATTAGATGCCCATGAAAAAACAAGATGCTTCCTGAACATTAGGTACTAAAAGGTGTCAGGAGTCGAAACAACTCATCATGTATGTGTATGTATGTTAATGTAATATAATAGTCAAGTTTGGTTGTCATTACCTAACCACTTCGAGAATGTGACGCCAACTTAGGACAATATAATTCGCAACAACTTAATAAATAAGGACCAACGTATGTTTAAAAAAATTAGTAACAATGCAAACACTTGAGGAAATATTATCCTAGTATTTAAATTTTACAAAATAACCGGAGGGATGAGTATATAATGACTTCCAGATTCTGGTAACTAAGTCTAAGAAGTTTTGAACTGAGGGACAGACTTATTCCTAGGCAAATAGAAAAAACGGAAAATGAATAATTCAACTTTGTAAGGGTACAAATGTCTTAGTCAGTCAGTCAGTAACAACGTAGAACTTCGTACGTACGTACATCAGTTCGAGTTGCCACACCACATTAGCACAGAGATGCACTTGTCGATTCAAATCCCGTAGTGGTAGAGGTAATAAGAGTATAAGCAGTAATCGGGAAGATTAGGGTTTGGAGATGTTATTTAAAGAGTATAATACAGTGAAAAAAATTTGGAAAGAGGAAAAAAGGGACATGAAGAATTCAGAAGATTAGAATTTGGGAGAACACAGAGAGTGGATGCACCTGCGCCATTGCAAACGATTTTGAGCCATGTCATTCAGGGTCTCTAACCATCGGTTGCTGTCATCTCGTTGCTAATATTTTGAAAAAAAGTATAAAAAAAGCCAAGGACGTGGTTATGTAAGACTAACTCATACTTCTGTAAGGAAAGGCGTGGTCATTACTGCAAGTGCATTACATAAATTATGAACGTTAGCACGCTCATCTTGTAAGCGAATTTCGTTTTTCAATTTTATGTTCCGACTGCATATATTAATTTAACTTATAAAATATACAGGATTTTAACATCAATCATGTTACAAGGAAGTAAAAACTCGAAAATCTGAACTGGCATAAACCATATACGAGGTCAAAAAAACTACTTAATCCGTCAAGAAAATTATAAGACTATAATTTGAAAATGCAGTACCTTGAGTAACAACGGGCATTTTTAGTTGTTTCTCGCTTTCACGAGAAGTTAGTGAAAATTTGTCTTTCTCGTAGCCACTTAAAGCTATGATGTTGGATCCAGTGCGATTATTCCCCCCTGGCATTGTACCAATGCCGCTGCTACTACTTCCAGTCGCAGTACTGTTACGCTTGTCACCTAGTGTTGGTCTTGTTACTACTGGTTTAGTAACGAAATCCCGGTCACAATCCTCCAACAATGCAGATTCTGAACCATGATCGTTAGAATAATTCCGTGACGAATAGTGGGAATTTTGATTTAAACGAGAGTCACCATTACTAATATTACCATCATTGATGGATACGGAAGTATTATTACGCAATGATTCTTCGAGATGGAGTAATTTATCACTCATATATTGTATCAATAGATATATCGAAAAATCTATAGGTACAGTCAATTTAAAACATTCATACCTAGTTTGACCCTCAAGTTAACACATTTAAGGCATTTAAACAGTAACCCTTTTTTCATGCTGCAAAAGAAGGAAGAAATTGCATCAAAATTTTAGCGAACATATACGATGATATGATATGAATTATTTTCGTTCGATGAAGTAGTTATAATTTTATCATTTTCAACCGTTGTGCAGAGTGCTAATTATAAAGCACCGTGGTATTTTCCTCTCTGAGTTATTTTTATTGTATTGATCATTAATTACTCATCATAACTGTTTTTCGCTTTGTCTGGATTTATTTCAGTCAAAGTAATTGCCCAGAAGTATCGTTTTTTTCGAGTGATTTTTCATCTGCACTTTTTGAGAACATTAGTTTTTCAAATATTTGTTTGCACTCTCGGATCTGACAGTTCACGGTTTTGAACATTTTTGTGATTAGTGTCCTTCGTCTTTGTGTATCATTCATGCCCAGTTTTTTTAAACCTTTGACTGATGACTGGAAAGTGCAATATATACAATTGCCAACACTCAGACCGTCTATAGCCTATGGAAAAGATCATGCAGTGCGATGAGCGAAAGGAAGATACTATGAAGTTTGTACCAACGTTACACCTGAAGATTTGAAAGAGTTCAGGGAAAACAGATGCGTATGGTACTGTCAACAATGCTGCTCAGATACAAACACCTTACTATTCGAAGCCACTGCTAAAAGCAATATCGGTAAACGCAATCGAGACACAACGAATGGGACCTAGTCGATCGATTTACAAACTAACGCGAAGGCACCTCAAGTATACTCGGAGGCTACTGACTTACGTAGGCCAACAAATAATGAACAGCACATGAAGAGGTCTGTTAGAAATAAAATCTCACGACGGAAGTTTCTTCGCCCTTCAAATATCGGTGAGTAGGAAACCCCTAGAAAACCAGGCCCGTTCCTATCAGGAAAAACAACAACAATCGACAATCAGCCAGGATCACATCATGTGTGTAATGCCACTGTGATTGTTATTCCAAATGAAAGTTGATGAATGAGTGCAAATCAAGAATGAGAAACGGTCTAGTGTTGCTAACGAGAAGCTAATCTAATAAAAAGTAGTTGAGTTATTAAGGACTGATCATAGTGGCAGATTATCTGTCTTTCATAGAGAAAAAAAAATTTCAGAACCCAGAACTCGTTTTAAGCATGATATTGAGTTGATAAAAGAGCTACAAAATCACTTAATGGCTCGGGAGATCTCTGAAGTCGTTTCGCTAAAGATTTATGGAGTAAATGGCCAGGTTGCTAAAAGTAGAATTTCAATCTCCCAATATAAGGGATTTATCACTACAAAATCGAAATAAACTAAAATGGTCAAAAGGTTTTGTTCTTAAATATTTGCCGCTCAGAGGCCGTATAAACGAACGAGATGCTGTGAAAGAACCAGAGCTAGGTTCAGACTCTAGTGACAAGGACCAAAAAAGTGTAAATTTTCGGATTGTGAGTCGCCGACAGAGAAACATGCCCAAGCCACTCTGAGTGCAGCACGTAGTGATTCACATAAGCTTCAGAGTTCGCTCAACAAACAATTCAAGCTAGTTGTACAGATAGACTCTACCAAATTGGATGTAGCCGCAGTCACAGAAATTCGATTGACTCAGCTTATAGACAGTACGAAACACAATGTTGAAGAGTTTTAGATCACTAGATACTGAAGAGACAAAACATCGATATCGTGAAGCTCTAAATAACTGTGCCTCGGCCATCCGCAAATCTGGAAGTTTGTACAAAGAAAAACGTGTTTAACAAGCTATGATCGTACGTAAGACAAAGGAAAAAAGAAGAAGAAATGAGTTAGCATTATGGAGAGACAGTAGTACCTCACCAGTAATGTATGACGATTATGTGAATTCTCAGGCATACTCAAATAATATAGCGATGTATATACAATAGACAAATCCTCTTATTTGTTCCCTAAATTAACATTCAACACACAAAGTGTACAGTGCGACCGTTGAAGATCTAGCTCAATTTCGTTTCTTCAACAAAATTATTATCGGTAGATTCAGTAAGAAGTCGAAGTATTCAACTGATCATTTATATTTAAAGATGCCACCAGTATTTGGAGTTTGATAACGCCATAACCAGTAACACCATTTATAATCGAATTGTATTAACCCAAACAAATCAAAAGTCTGAAGCGAAGTTTTGAAGTAATTTTTGATGGAATATCGAGATAGAGAAGTGACAATTATAAGTTGGCCAGCGGTCGTAGGAAATGTGAAGCACGGCGTACTCACTAGTAATCTGGTGCGAATGCGTGGCTCAGAGCCTTCGGCTAGGTGAGTCCATTAAAACTAATACGATTAGCAGTGAATGTCGAAAACTTGCAGAGCTATTGATTTGGGCGATCTATTTAGCGATATACTGTTGCGCATGCTATCATTATTTTCACTAAATCGTGGAAATTTTTGATTTACTCAATTTATGGTCTCACTGGTTTCACCTCATCGAAAGCACGTCGTTGCTGACCAGACGAGATGATCATTCAGACTGCAGATCAAGCTGAAACTTAGTAATAAAAGATTGAGTACTGTGTGTATGTAAAGTGAATTTATCCGCAAAGCAATCATGTAAACTTAGTGTCTTGCCCAGGTTCATCTATGCGTTCAAGTAACCACAGATTTTGTCATTTCATGATGTATTTTTAATTAAATAACTAGATTATATAGTTAATTTTGCTCTGTTTTTAATTTTTATTCGCCACGTCTGACTGCGTTACACTGTACGTCCATTGCACGCAGGGATGTTATCCCAAGTCATAGTGAGTTTATTCGCATAGTTGATTGTTTCCAGATAGACTGTCAGTGCATAATGTTACTGAAGAAAGGTTTGTTGTACTGCAAACTATGTTTCTATGAACAACTGACTGTTGTCTTCAGTCGGAAAGCAATATATACATTTTTTGTCTTCTGTTAGGTAAGTTCAACTGGCCTATATTTCGTGTTTTGGTTTTATCGGCTTAATTATGTCCATTTATCTACTTTGAGCAACATGTCTGTGCAAATGAAACAATAATTATGACACTTGTTTAGTTTAGTATTCTTGGTTGTCGTATAATTCAATTTAGTTGAAAGAATTATGGTATACTTAAATATAGTGCTTGAAGCCTGTAACGAAACAGATCAGTTTAGTAAGTAGAGTTGCCTGTTTCTGATGAGTGTACTGATTCAGATCAGTTTGATTAAAAATAGGAAAAAACGTGCCTTTTATGCTGTTGCTGTCATACATTATAAGATAGCGATAAGTATGTTTGGTGTTTATTTCTAGACTGTACATCTATCACTGACCATATTTCATGATTACTGTCACTAAACAATTTTCCCAGCAATAACATCGGTAGCAAGATAGCTATGCGTCTGAGCTTTTAGTTGCCCGCAAAACAGCAGTATACAGTCCTAAAAGATGAGTGTTCTGTGTCTCAATTAAATGCAGCTGGCTGTGGACAAATGTTAAGAATCTTTCTGACAAGTGGGACTTTTAGTTTATCAGACACTTACTCTGCTTGTATGTCTTCCTGTTAAACTAGACGCAGATGCATGGGAATACTTAAATGGGAGCAAAATAATAAAAGCATTGCAAAACGGTACTAAGCCCATGTAATAGTAGCTGACCTTATCTAATATTCATAAACTCAAGGTAAATCACAACTGCATAAATTCTTTGCTAAACAACATGTAATTTGGTTATTTATCTATTCCGCATTCCTGACTAAATTGATCACTATTTTTTTTCATTTAGAATGCAACATGAGTGCCTTCACAGACCCTAAAAACTGTTTAGCCCTTGGAACTATGGCCCTATGGAACTGATTACGGGAGACCCAACGAATAGCAGATTATAAAAAGGATGCTGGACCTCCGTTTTAGTCTCACAACCACTTCCAGTATTTTTTGACTTCTTTTATCCTTTCGTTTGGAAAAAACAACAAAAACTGCAGCTTAACATTACCAATACAACTTTTAAACGGGAACTTGGTTCAAACCTTTGTTTGATATTCGATTCTTAATGAAAGTTCTTGAATAAATTTTTGATTCTAATGCTACTTTGTTTTATCTACTTAATCGTTGCAGAAAACCTGTGATAAGCGAGCCTCTCAGCACCTAGTTCATGTGTTTAAATGGTTGTGGACCGAATAGAAGCTTTCGCTTAACAGGCTTCCGTGTCTAGTAGCACGGGATTGTAGTGGCATTCGACAATAGCCACACAATTCACAAAACTGTGAACACGAGACTACTCAGAAAATAGATATTCAATATTTAACGCGGAGAAATACCTAACAATGGAGAATGCGCGAACAATGAATTGAATGGACTGGAGTTGATCGAGTGGCATGGCTCAGCCATACAGGCGTGGTCTCTACTGAATGTTACCTTATATCTTCTATTCATATTAAATATATTGTTCTTTCTCTAGCCTAACCTTGTTCTACATAATGTATTGGTAATTGATACGATACAGTGAGTTGGTGTAGTCGATGGTGCGACTTCCACGTAAGATCTTATATATTAGGCAGTTATATCATGACAAATCTACAAATTTAGGATTAGGTCTATTGTTAGAGCAGTACTAATATCATAGTAGACCATAGTTCTACATGATCACCAAAACCTCCAGGCAGGAACCTAGGTATGTTAACAATAAAAGAGGAAAAAGAAATTGGTAGATCATAGTATGATACTATCCTTAATCATTAAGAATATATCCAGTTGCCTCTCGAAGGACTCCTGTGAAGTCGCTTGGGCTAGCTCGGCCAGCAGGTAATTCCAGCATTTGACAACTCTTAAGGAGTAGAAGTTGCGTCTACAGTTCGTCTTGCTGTGTTGTGTCTCTAGTTTCTGGGTGTTACGCTTTAGGTTAGTGTTGGGACTAAGCTTAAGTAGGTGTTTAAGACATTGTCCAGAAGTGTTAAGGATACTGTAAGCCATTAGAAGGTTACCTCTAAGACGGGTAGAGGTTAAGTGGTTGGAGGCGCTCTTCATAAAG